AAAGGCATATAATTTTACTATGTAACACTTTGTCCTGGTTGATTTGTTATTTGAAATGCTGAAGATTTTTCTTTTTGAAGATTATAGCCCATTTATTTCTGTTCTTATGTAAGCAATACTCTGCTGCAATTTCTTTAGTGATAATGAACACTTCCACTTTCTGACATTCATCCAGTACTTACATTGATGCAGGTATCTCTGATAATCCATTAATCTTGGTTAAATGAGACAAATTCCCTTTTTCTGTAGGTGTTTAAATCATCTATTTAGCTGGATTATCCTTTCATTCTCAGCCTATACCTTTCATTCATCCAGAGAAGATTTTAACCCTATGAGTATTATATTTACTTTTATACACTCTCTGGGTGTTTAGACCCAGTAAACAATGTGCCAGGACACAACTTTGACTTTAACGTGTAGCAGTAATTACACTCTCAAAAAGATTTAATCATTTTTCTTTGGTCCATAGAATATTAATTCCTTGATAGTTTTTGAGGTTTTTCTTTCAATTTTTGATCTTTCTCTTATCTCTATTTTTATATTAGAAACCTTCAGTCATTTCCTTTTATTTTTTTTACTCCTTTTACACCAAACAAGGAAATAAAGCCACTAAGACACAATGGGTTACTGGGTGTGAAAAAATGAGAAAAAGAAAACATTAAGGAGAGAGAACAATAAAAGAACATGAATTAAGAATACAGAAGATAACAATTGATATTGCATTTAAATTTTTGAATATCCTGTGGCCACTATTTCAATTTCTGTCTCATACCCAGCAAATAAATGATCGAACGATCAACAGTGACATTTAAGTTTTATTTAGTATTTTCTTACTCATGGTTTTTATTATCCTATTCTATATCAGTTTAATTTCATCATGTAATTATAAATCTACTTCTTGATTCAACCTTCTTATAAACCACTCAATAATTGTTAGCTTCTCTACTTGTTAATTAGTTGGAAACTTAATTCAACCCTTAGTTATCTTCAGTAATGATACAAAACAACTTTTCCTCTTTTTCCTCTGAATCTCTAAACAAAGGAAACCTGAATTTCTTGTCATTTTTCATATATTCTCAATACATTTATTTCAGTAAGAGTTGATTTATCAAAGAATAATAAAACATGTAGAAAACATTCAAACATTTACATTTTTCTTTTTAATCAATTCACCCCAAGCAAGATGATAATGTCACTAAAATGCAAGGTGCCATTGGGAGTGAAAGAGAATGAGAAGACTTTAGAAGGAACTGGAAACACAATCTTGAACAAGAAACGATAGATAAACCTCTACTCCTGTTCAAAACATGGGGGAGGGGAATAGGCAAACCTATCTACTCCTATTGAAGGAAAAAATAGTAAACAAAATTTCAGAGGTGAAAATATTAGAAGTAGACTTTAAAAGAACCTGAAAACCAACCCTAAACAGGAAACATCGACCCCTGTTCAAAAGACTGGGGAGGAGTGTGAATATATCTACTCTTATTAAACCCATTTTGAAGGAGAGAGAATAACATCCTTTGGAGAAAATATACTGAGAAATAGCAAATAAGAAATTTGAAGGAAATAAAGCTGGCCTGAATTTTAAAATGTTAGGAGAACCCATTACTGAAATGTCTCTGCAGACAGAAAATTTTTTTCCTTGTCTTTCTTGAAATGTTCATCTTTTATTTTCTTTTTTCTTATCTCTTTTTGTGAAAGCTTTTTTTTTTAATATTTCAATCTATTCATAACGCGTTATTAGCAGTTTTTTGCTATTTTTTTCCCTATTTTCCTCTCTGCTCTTAACATTCTCTTGAGTGAATCCTAAGTCACTGCAGTTAAAAGTTTACACCATTATTTGCAATTGCCTAGATTTTTGAAGGTAAGGAGATGAAGATAAAAATATTAGGGTAGAACAAATGTTTGTAGTGTTTTTCAATAGGTTGTGCTTGAACAGATGATTTTGTTTCACAAATGACTAAAATTGATCACACACACACACACACACATATTTCAATACATTTTCCTGATTCCTGTGTGAAGATTGTGAATTTTAAATATTTATATATTAAGTGAAACTGGAGGAAAACAATGCATTTTTGTCATTTGATGATCTCTTATTTGTGCAAACAGTAAAAAAGTTATGTACCATTTTACAAAGATTTATGAACAGTATTCTCATCTATGGAAAGTAGCTGAGAATACTGTTCATAAATGGTTCACTCGATTCATATGTGGAAATTTTGATCTGAAAGACAGATCAGTCTTGAAATCATTAATGATGACCAATTGAAATTATTTAATGGAAAAAAAAAATGAATAGACAGCGTTTTTATCTGATTTTCTGCTCAAACACAACAAGATGGCCCACTTTTTAAAAGAATGATCTGTGATAATGTGATTCTGCACATAACTGCACAAGCTGTGATGACAGCTAAAGGTTAGCTGTATGCAAATACACATTGTCGCTCACTATGTTCACAAGTTTGTCTTAATATTAGGGCTGTGATTGAATTATGAATAATAACAAATTCTTTTCAAGACGCTAGTTAGGAAGTAGCAAAAAAATAGGATTTCTCACTTAATCAGCAATGTCTTCCTTCTGCTTCGAGATGCAACTTCTGGTATCTCGCTAGCTTAAGGCCATGGAAAAAGTACTCCTACACACTCACTGCTTGACCGTCTTACTGACTGCTGGCTATTTCACTGATGGACTGCTGGTCCTTTCACTGACTACTCATTATATGGATACTGGCCGGGGGACCCACCACCCCTATCTGTACACTTATGTTCCACCAACTGGAAAAGGGAACCACCTAGTCAACTTTTGGGTGGTCAGTTTTTCAAAGGACTCTGCTTTTACGGCTATCTAAAATCACTAACAAAATTTTGTTTGTCAATTCAAAGGCAGGCTGGAGACAAGATTCCTGAGAAACCCTGATTATTAAATTGACTTAAAAGGAAAGAGAATCTATCTCTTCATCTTCTAAGGATATGTGAGAAATCATATTGCTGCAGATCACTTTCACCTTTTGATGACCACTTATTTTGATCCCTACAAAATTCTCTTAATGGGAGGAGCTTCAATTCTCTGAGAGTCTGTAAAAAACACTTAGACTAGTTCATCACTAAGAAAGATGCCAAGTTCTAGAAGAATGGCAAAATGTAGTGGGACAGAATGGCACATATGTAGTTGAATGAATCTATGTAGAAATATCTAAATACTGTCTTTGATATTCTTTTAAACACTATAGACCTTTGTATCAACCCGATAATATGAAATATCAGATTTAAATTTTATACTGGCTGCTTCATAAAACTTCATAAGAAGTCTGCAGCCAGAAAAAAGCTAGAGTCTTATAAGTGAACGATAAATTGAGTAATAGTTTGAGGCAGTGACTGAATCCAACTTATTACTTAAACTTTGCAGGAAGAATGAGTATTCAATAGAAAGGTTAATGTCCACAAAACACCCTCATTATATCCAAATAGTTTCAAATAACGCATTGAAAATATCTCTGTTTAAAACTGTTAAAATATAGTCTTTGTGTTGACATGCTTAGATTTTAAAAAATGCATCAATGAAAAGGTTAATGAGGTAAAAGCTGAAATCTGTACTTGTCTCTTAATTAGCCAGACACAGTTTAATTTGAAATGTCTATCCTGGTTTTGTTATAATCAAAACCAATTTCATTTTCATAATGATGTCTCCATGCATAAATAAACAATGGAATTTCATTTCTCTTCCTTGTTTTTTTTTTTTTTTTTTCTTGTGTTTTGTCAACAGACTTTATTATGTTACATCATGTGAAAAAAGTGTCTAATATAAAACTACATTATATGTTTGATATTACCTAAAATAAGTCCTGGTGAAATATTTGCCTATCATGAACTTTATTTTCAGAAATAAAAATATCATGCAATATAAAATATTAATTCGTCAACATTATAAAAATAAAAAATACATCCACAAATGTAAAAATGAGGCTATTTAAGGTATTTATAAACATTGGTACCTTCAAAAATTCATTAAAAAAGAGCATACCATGATGACAAAAAGGCAAAGTTTTATCAAAATGTTTATTATTAAGAGGAAAGACCAAAGTATTTTTTGATTATTTTATTAAATTTTTTTTTTCATCCTTTCTAGCACATTTGAAATTTGGTTAAAAAATCTTGTTTTTCTTGTGTCAGCAGGTGGGCCAAAGATTAATATGGGATATTTAGCATCTATTTTGCAGTAAAAAACACATTGTTTCAGAAATTCTTGCAAAAATCAAATAATTGTCAGATTTTAATGAAATTTCAGGTCTTATTCACAATTGATTTTTTTTTTTTTTTTTTTTTTTTTTAATAGAAAATCTTGATAAAAATATATTTTGTTTTTCTGTACATGTTACCTCCACTGACTTAATTCAGCTATTTTAGCAAAAAAAAAAAAAACAAAAAAACTTCCAGTCAATTTAAATTAGTTTTTGAAATACAGCAAAATATTTTTCTTATTGGAAATATTAAATTTAATCTATTAGCTTGAAATTAAAACTAAAATAAAAGCTTCTAGAACGATTTTTCATTTTTATAAGTTCATTTTAAACTTTAGGTATCATGTTTTCTGTGGAGGTACCTATACAAACACTATATTAATCTTCAGTAAAATTTTCAAAGGTTCCCATGATGTGAATGCACAGAATGGAGTCAATCTGTGGAAATGCATCAAAAAGAAACAAAGCTAAAATGCTACTAAGATTTATTCTCAGCTTCCAAGTATATAGTTAGAATATTGATAAATGAATATAAATTTTATTTTCAACACTTTTTTTGAGTAAGTTTCAGAGGGTAAATTTCATATCCTAATATTTCTTTTTTTGTCTTGCACTATCTCTAAAAAGTTTTTTAGAGCAAGTTTATTTGGCTTTTGAAAAAAAATTTAGACAATGTAAATTTTCTTTTCCGTTTCTTTGCAGATGACATACAGGTTGACAGTCAACCTACCCCATGGCCAAAAAGTTGTCCGTCGAATGAGTGCCAACCATCCCTTGTATGAACTTCACGAGAGTGTGTGTGAAGAGAAAAATCTTGATCCAAACATCTTTGTTTTCCAGTTACCTGACAAACCTACCTCTCAGGTTAATCTGAAATATACTCTCCAAGAACTGGGATTAATCAACTATGAGCTCAATTTAGTGCACAGAGGTATGGTTGGTTTTTAACATCTAAAAATATTTTCTATTACAAGTTGATTATCCTTTATCTGAAATTCCAAACTCCAAAAACCTCCCAAATCTAAAAGTTTATCAGGTTCTGACATGACTTACCACAAATGGAAAATTTTAGAAAGTACTGGGAAGATTCCAAGCTGATATGTTTCTGTTGTAAGTGACCATATCTACTCTGGGTAGGGGTTCCCCCAGCCCAACTACATAGCCTGCATTGGTGCCAGCACCACCTTTGTTCATGGATTACTTAATAGGTGTTTTGCGCTCAGTAAAGATATTTTTCAACATGTCAAAAAGTCCTGCATTTATATATTTTTTGTAAGTAGTGATCAAGTTTTTTGTACACCTACAGAAAATACAAAACATTATTTTTACGTGAAATCTTAATTTCACCACTTAAAAATCTGCATGAGCATTATATGACTAGTGTAATTACCTGTATTGGTATGGACACAAAATTTTTTAAATTTTATATAAAACTACATTCAGGCTATATGTATAAGCTGTGTTATGAAATGTAAAGTGATATCATGTTTATGTTTGGGTTCCATTCCTAAGCTGTCCCATTTTATAGATGCTCTATACAAATTAATTAGCCTGTATTACAAAATAAAAAAAAAATCTGAAAAGTGAAGCACTTCTGGTCCCAAGAATTTCAGATAAAATATTCTCAACCTGTATTAAACTGATTGAGTCATTTTTTTTTATTGATTATTAACATTAACATTATATTCTTTTTTCTTTTGGTAGATCCTCCAGAAGACTTTGTCTTCTCACACTTTGTGAATTGAGCTTCATCTTTGTTTTTCCGAACAAAGAATTTCCACACAATTGATTTTCTTTTTATCATGTTAGGGCTAATGAGAATGAAAAGGAAAACTATAAAACTTATCACATTATAAAGACTATTGTAAAATGGAGGGAAAATTTAGTTAATGTTGCTTCCTTGAAATAAATCTGGAACTGGTTATTAAGTATACACAAATGAGGAAAGATCACCTGATTTAACACTAACAGTGTTCCCTTGGCCTGCTATGAATAAAGTCTGTAACCTTCAAATTCTAGGAGTTGGCAAGGGGCTAGGGAAGGAAATGACAAGGTGCTGATCTAAGGTATTGGGAAGGTGAGAATTGATATGTTGTGATCTGTTTCAATAAAACAGACAGCACTCAGCTAGCTAAAGGCTGACTGCAGTTACGATATTTCTTCAAAGGAAAAAACAAATGTTTCACGGAAAGCAGAAACTACAAACATTAAAATTGGTTTTGGTATTAGTGATCATCATAAGAAAATCGGTTTTAACCAGTTTTATAAAATTGTTTTCGAACCCTAGTATGAAAGGATATGAGAAAATGGTAAACGTTATTAAGGAGAGAAAGCAATAAAAGAACAGGAACTAAGACAGAATATAATGATTGACATTACATTTAAATTTTTGAAGATCAAAATTGAGTGGAAAGCAAGAATCTGGAGGAGAATTCCACATGCAAGAAGTGCGAGAGAAGAAACTTTTAGCATAGAACATATGATTACATCTATAGCCATTTCAACTGTGAAATGATGAGACCTTGTTGATAATCTAGTATTGCACTTAAATTTGTAAAGTTGAAATACCAAAGCAGAAAGTCTATCAAAACAATTATCATGAAAATATATATAGAACAGTCATAGAGAAGCTACATTACAGCAGTGGGGGAAGTGACTGAAGCCAAGATGCCAGGTCTGGACTGATAACATTGCAGATTGTTTGGATTTTATCAAAAATCTCTAAATATATAGCAGATGCATGAGAGCAGATGTGACAACAATATTCAATGCATGGATAGATGGTAGACTTATAAATGTCTATGATAGACTCTGGCAAGAAAAAAAATGTCTAGTATGTCACAGTCAACTTTTCTATCAGCAGACCTAACAATTTATTCAGTATAATCTTTCCACTTCATGTCTGCAAAAAAAAAAACATTCACCTGAGAAGTTGAAATGAGTCACTTTCCTGGAAATAAGCATTTTCAGTGATAAACAAAAATATTCATCCACTATGTTTGGCAGGGTTTTGTCATTTTTTGCCCTTATACAATTAACAACTACATGGTAATTTAGTGCACTTGTGGGAATCTTATATGGTTTCATTGTTTCTTTCATTAAAGCTTATCACTGAAAGTCAAGTAAAATAGAGCTGATTTGTAATGGCTAGAGAAAATGAAAATGATTTTAGAAATTTCCAGTGAATTTCTGTCTCGTAGATAGGCTTCAAGTATGAAAGAACAAGTGAGTCAACGATGATGATTCTTCTTCCAAGGATGAATGTAACTCCATTCTCAATGTTCAGTAATGGTGAGAAATGAATTGTGGAGGCACTAATTACAATCCTGCCTTTCTACAATTTCTTTTTAGCAGTGCTTCAGGTGTGAAACCTGATATCACTGGATAAAGGATATTCTCACAGATTTTTGATGAAGAATTATTTGATTATATTTGTGAAGAAACCAATAAATTTGTCACTCCAAATGATGTTAAGAATTAAAAAGTTGTACATAAAATTACAAATTATTTATGCATTATAAAAAACCTTGAGGATTTTTGCCTGAGATATTTCTGTGGTGAGACTTCCTCCATGAATTTAACTCATTTGATACACACAGACAAAAAATTTTTTTTTTTACATAAGTATATTACATATTTGAAACAGTTTTGAAAAAAAGAATTTTTAAATCCTTTAAGGGATTAATCACCCAAAATTTTGTTGCTTTTTCCAGTCAAAATATAGTAGTCAAAGTGAACAAAGAAAAAGGACAAGAAATAAGAGCAGTATTTTCTCTAATAAGGATGAGGATATTAGTCTGATCAACTTGTGGAATTATAATAATGATTCTGATTAGAATTTCTGACAGTATTTTACAGATAATTTTTCAAAATATTCTTTAAATTTCAATTTTTCTCTGTAATTGAAACATTTTTATTTTTCTGATAAATTCTTCCTCACAAATATTTAAAAAAACTCAACCTTATCATCCTTGTATGATGCAAAATGTATATTGTCTCACACTAATGTAAATGTTTTGGTTATATTTGTTTACTGACATGCTAAGAAGACTTATCAATTTTGTACTGAAAACATGTGGATGACATTTGCCTTTAAATACCCAAACTGCTGTGTATTCAGTTTTTTTGTCTTTCAGCTGAGATGGATCATTATATGTCAGTTCCTAATTTATCCAACACTGAATCTGCATGGATGAGTGACCAATCTACAATTAAATCATCTCCAAATACAACTTACCTCAATGTGCCTCCTCCTCGGGGAGACTCTCGAAAGAAGAGAGGTTTCTTTTCTTTCTTAAGGAAGGACAAACGAGGCAAATCTGTAAGTAATTTAATATCTTTACTCTTCAATATTTTATTTCTTAGCTTGCTTTTTGTTATTTTTATTCTAGTCAAGAGCAGGATAAGTGTGTATGTGTATGCCATTTTAAGGTTTGTGATCAAATCTGCTGCTGTTTATTATATGGTAATGGGATAAATATGTGAAAGAAAGAAGAGATTCATTGCAATAATACCAGTAATGATAACCATATTAAACATGATGTTTAGTTGGGCATCTTATTTTGTTTTTTGGTGGAAGAATTTTAGCCTAAAATTTCCTTGTAATTTTAAGTCTTGATTTGATGATAATAGTTGCTTACCTTCTTTGCTCTTGGGAAATTTTGCATGCAAATATTTTCTATTTTCAGCTCCAAATTTCTAAATTGGATGAATAAAAGACATTAACTCTGGATTCCTTTTATTATGCAACATTTCTCCTGTAGTTATAAGAATGTTTCAAATTTTGCAGCCTCATTTGTTTATTTTAATTTGTTATTCATTTATTATATTATGGATTTGTTTTGTGAATGCAAACTGAAGAAGATGTTCAATATCTGCTGCAGCCTCTTGGATGTCTAATGAGGCTGCTACAGCAGAAGTATGTTTTCCACATCATGTGTAATAAAGGGTTTCATTTATTGTATAATTACAGGGTGCGATGGATAAATTGTCGTCTAATTATGCAAAAATGAAAATAACATTTGACCTTTCATTTTAAGATATATTTACCAAAATTGCACAAAAAAATCTTGAAATACTAAAGAGTAAATTTCCTCAATAAAATCACCATCGGCCTCCAGACAATGTCAGAATCTCCTGCAACTCTGCAATTTCTGACAGAGAAAAATGCATTATAGTACTGTTTTTCTCACAGATGGTGCCCAACTGACCCTACTATACTGTTCAGTCAACAAAATCAAAAACAACACACACGTGCAAAATTAAAGATATAAAAGATGACAATTTACTCATCGCATCCTATATGTATATACAAATTGAATTAATCTGAAAAAAATAATGTTTTCTCTATTAAAATTGTAAGTTGTAAAAATTATATTCCTTCAGAACTAAAAATCTGTGTTAGTTCAATATAAGTAAAATTAATAAACCTATTTTTCCTGGAAATGCCTATTTTTAATTTAAGGGATCTTATTTAACGATCGTTAGATTCAAAATTAATTTTGGATAGGAATCAAATGTTTTATTGAATAATTTTTCTTACAGGCCAACATGCAAATTACAAATTAGGGATAGTTATATCAAACAAGTACAAAAATCTAAATATCTAATAATTGTTTTAACAAGGATTGGAAAATGAAACACTGAAATATGAAAGCACATTGGGATAGTAAAAGAAGCCTTCCAAAAGCTAAGCAAAGTATTAACAAACAGAAAAATTTCATTAGGAAAAAAGAAAAGAGTACTGAACTGTTATGTAATATTAATCCTCCTATATTGCAGTGAATGCTGGACAATCTCATTACAGATGTAGAGACCTGACACAACAGAAATGTGGTTCTACAGAAGTATGTTGAGAATACTGTGAACTTAATATACGAGCAATGGCAAAGTTTTAATGAAAATAGAAACGTTAAGAACACACACACACACACACACACACACACACACACACATATATATATATATATATATATATATATATATATAGAGCAACTGAAAGAAAATTGAAATTTCTAGGGCACATAATGAGGAAAGAAAGCTTAGAAAATTTGACACTCACAGGACATATTGAAGGCAAGAATCACAGAAGAAAGTGATGCATAACCTACCTATAAGCTTATGTAAATGGTTGGCTGAAGAGGGATTAGGAGAGACAGCAAAAAGACAAATTTTACTAAGAGTTACAAAGGATGGGAAATTGTGGAGAGCCACGATCTGAAGGGACATAGAACATATTAGATCATTGCAAAATGTTGTGCCTGACTAGAAAATTAAAAACAAAATTTTACATACTCAGAAAAAAAAAATCAAATACATAGGAAAGAAAGTATTTATAAAAAAGGCACAGAGAGGCAACCTTATGCTGGTGAGCAAGTACCTGAAGCTGAACTACCAGATCATGGCCAATAATATTGCTGATTCTTCTTTGGATCTTATCAAAGAGTTTATGGTAAATAGCAGGGTTACAGGATTATATATGGCAGTAATATTCCAAGCCTGGTAGACTTATAGATATGCAAGATAGATTCTGGAGAGAAAAATTGTCTCGCATGACACAGTGAACCAACTTTCTTAGCAGCTGACCTAGCAATAGATTCAATATAGTCTTTCCACTTCATGTCAGCTGGGAATGTTAGCCCAAGAAGGCACAATGAGTCACTTTCCTGGAGGTTAGCATTAGCCATGTTGATGAATGGCAGTGATGTGTCTCTCAGATGATTAATGGAGAAGTTTACTTTTGGAGGCATTAAAATTGACAAGCCAGCTTTTACCCCAGTCAACCTTGGTCTTGAGGTCATTTGTACATCAGCTGCCATTTTGATCTTATCGAATTGATCAGCCCTACTATCGAGGCAGGAGTAAATGGTAGTGTCATCAGCATTAATGCCAAGTGGAGAGCTGATATCATCTGGAATTTTTTACCCTGTTTTTATATGAAAATATATGTTATTAAAAAGAAGTAAAAAAAGAGAAAATGTTATCTTCAGCAAAAGTTATTAAAAACTCTGGTGAACCGTCCAATCTATCCAACTATCAGCTTATTAGCCTTTTACCTCTTTTTGGGAAACTCCTAGAGGATCTTAATCAATGCTGAATTGGTTCATCATCTCTCATTGCTGGGCCTTTTCTCAGATAAGCAATATGGCTTTTGTTTCTCCAGGTCAACTGCTAATGTACTGACAATAATTGCAGAAAGAATCTATCATACTCTAGATAAAAACAGTGAAGCTTGGGTTGTAGCATTGGACATCTCAAAAGCTCTCAACTTGGCATTTATGCTGATGACACTACCATTTATTCCTGCCTCAATAGTAAGGCTGATATCATCAGGAAGATCGTTAATGAAAATTAAAAATAGTGTAGGACTAAGGATGAATCTCTGGCTGACACTCGCATTAGCATGAAAGGGTGTAGATGAGTGGCTGTTCTGGATAACTTACATTTCATGATTTGACAGGAAAGACCGGGTTAGCTCAAAAATACAAGACGAGAATGCCAAACCCTGTCAAAGACTTTTGAGATGTCCAATTCAGCATTGATCAAGATCCTCTAAGAATTTCCACAAAAGTGATGGAAGGCTAATAAGCTGATAGTTGGATAGGTTGGATGGTTCACTAGAGTTCTTAAAAACTGGAACAACAGATGATGACCTCCAGCAGGCAGGAAAGTCGGAGACAGCGAGGCATTTATTATACAATTTAAAGAGGAGCCAGTTCAGGAGCACACTTCTTAATGACTATTACAGGGATACCATTGGATCCACATGCTTTGTGGGGATCATGGTTAGAGATGTTAACAGAATAAAATTGTATAAAAATGATTTCTCTTTTCAGGTGTGTGTATCATTTTTTTCTTTTTCATAGCTAAACCTGAAATTTCAAATATTTATTGGGAGCTGTTAATGCTCACAAATAACATTGATAAATTTTTTAGAAACTATTGGTTTGAAATTTGATATCTACTGATTGTGGCTAAGTAGTTATTAATATGTACTGATATTGGTTAAATATAACAGTAAAATAATGACTAAATTTGAAAAAAGCTTATTTCCCCACAGTAAAATGCTGGAAATGAAGAATATAATTTAATGTATATGATTAATTTAATGTTTTGTCTTGACTGGAAATTTTGGAGATCTGTTTAACACTTTTTCTTTTACAGACTATAATTTTACTTGTTTCATTTACAAATAACTTGAAGTAACGTAGGTACAGTGAATTAAGTATGAACTAGATCAGTTATCACAATTTTTTTACCATTATTTAATCCTCTAATAGTTGGAAAATGTTACAGGAATATACATGTCAAGCAAGTAACAAAAACAAAAAAGAGAATATTAATTTTCTTAAAGAGTAATTTTTATGCTTATTTCTACTTTAATTATATATAAAAGTTATATTTTGACTTTTAAATTATAGATAAAAAAGGGAAATAAATGCTGTTTCTAAATGTAATATTTTTAACAGTATTATCGTCTTTGAAGCATTTCACTGGAATTGTACATTCCTTGCGTCATGTTGTCATGGTACTTTACCTCTTTTCTGAATTGTAGTCTGTTTCTTCTGGCTTGTAATTAATTCCCAAATCGCTCTTACAAATGTCAATTGTTTCCTCAAGGCGTACATTACTAAAGAGACTAACAATATCATATGAATCCAAAGGAAGAGTCCACACTTTGAGAAATCTGCATGCAGGTATAGCATTGTCCTGTTCTTCCAGCTTTATCTGCAGGCAAATGCTCCAGAAAATGACATAACCTCATGGATCTGAGTATATAGTAAACTTCCGATTCTAGTTAGTCAATTTAGACTTGAATCATGAATGAATGAATGGGGCCTGTATCACTGGGAAAAGTTTAAATGATTAATTGATGTGTGCTGGTTACAACTAAAATATCAAATGATGTTGCCTGCCATTCAAGTGTTAGTTAATCAAAGCATGGCTTAAAAAGAATTAATCAAGATTGAAATATGAATGAAATTAGCTTGGTTTTTTTTTTGGTTTTTTTAATCAATTTTAAATATAATTTCTGGAAGATCACTAATATTTTTTTTTTTTTTTTTTTTGCATTTCATAGTATGAAACCAGAGGCAGCTTTGAAAATTCTTTAATGTGTTTGTTCTTTTCACTATTTCTTTGATATGATCAATTGTTTGCAGATTTTTGTTGTAATATTAAATTTGAAAATTCTATATTTAATGCTACTAATGAAGCATAGTTTTGACATAAGGCCACAAATACAGAACACCCAGTAAAAATCAAATTCACTGCTCTAAGAGACCAGCGAGCTAATCATTATGCAATTATTTCTGTTGCATTTAACTTTTAAAATTTTGATTTAATTAAAATCTGATAGGTCATGGACAATAATGCAGTTTATGTAAATGAATTCCTTGTCAGTGGAATAACCAAATTGTCACTCAAATAATTTTTCTTTTCTTTTCTAGCGTTCTCTTTCACCAACGTCTTTCAGTGAATTGGCTGATACTCTAGAGAATTGGATGAGTTCACTTCTTGTGAGAAAAAATATTTTGAGTCTTAAAGCAGTTGCCCACCCACTTCTACATCACTGCCTTTATCCTCACTCACACTTTCACTCTCTCTCTCTCTCTAACCCCTTGGGTGATCCCTTGTTACAGAATGTGTAGGCTAGACAAAAATGGCAAAGTGCCATGCTGATCAGAACTTTGATGACCTGAATTGTGTGGGGATTGTTTGAACTCTGTGTGTGTATCACTACCAACAGTGATGGATTGTCTCTAACTTTTAACATGACTGAAAAATGAGAGAAAACCAGCAGTACAATTGTTGTGGCACTAGAGACAGCAAGAGTGTTTGGTGCTCAAGATGGTTGCTATCTTGTCACTTTCTTTCTCTCAATCTAGTTGCTATCTTCTTACTGTCTATCTCTCGCCACTTTCATTTTTCACTCTCTTTCTGGTCACTCTCTCTCCCCAGTCTGTCCCTCTGGTTGCTCTACTGATCTCAGTTGCTCTCTCACATTCTCTTATCTCTCTCTCACATTCTCTTATCTCTCTCTCACATTCTCTTATCTCTCTCTCACATTCTCTTATCTCTCTCTCACATTCTCTTATCTCTCTCTCACATTCTCTTATCTCTCTCTCACATTCTCTTATCTCTCTCTCACATTCTCTTATCTCTCTCTCACATTCTCTTATCTCTCTCTTCTCACTTGTTGCTCTTGTCGCTCTCTCTCATTCATCACTCTTCTCTCATTCATCGCTCTTCTCTCTCTCTCTCTCGTCGCTCTTCTCTCTCTCTCTCTCTCGTCGCTCTTCTCTCTCTCTCTCTCTAAGCCTCTTCTCTCTCTCTCTCTCTCTCTTCTCTCTCTCTCTCTCTCTCGTCGCTCTTCTCTCTCTCTCTCTCGTCGCTCTTCTTCTCTCTCTCTAGTCGCTCTTCTCTTGTCTCTCTCTCTCTCTTCTCGCTCTTCTCTTCTCTCTCTCTCTCTCTCTTTCTCACTGCTCTCTCTCCAGTTGCTCTTTTCTCTCTCTCTCAGTTGCTCTTTTCTCTTCTCTCTCTCAGTTTGCTCTTTTCTCTCTCTCTCCGGTTGCTCTTTTTTCTCTCTCTCTCTCTCTCTTTTTCTCTTTTTTTCTCTGTCTTTTTTTCTCTCTCTCTCTCAGTTGCTTTTTTTTTCTCTCTCTCTCTCAGTTTGCTCTTTTTTTCTCTCTCTCTCTCCGGTTGCTCTTTTTTCTCTCTCTCTCTCTCAGTTTGCTCTTTTTTTTCTCTCTCTCTCAGTTTGCTTTTTTTTTCTCTCTCTCTCTCCGGTTGCTCTTTTTTTTCTCTCTCTCTCCGGTTGCTCTTTTTCTCTCTCTCTCTCAGTTGCTCTTTTTCTCTCTCTCTCTCAGTTGCTCTTTTTCTCTCTCTCTCGTTTGCTTTTTTTTCTCTCTCTCCGGTTGCTCTTTTTTCTCTCTCTCTCCGGTTGCTCTTTTTTTTCTCTCTCTCTCTCTCCGGTTGCTCTTTTTTCTCTCTCTCTCCGGTTGCTCTTTTTTCTCTCTCTCTCCGTTTGCTCTTTTTTTCTCTCTCTCTCTCCCGGTTGCTTTTTTTCTCTCTCTCTCCGGTTGCTCTTTTCTCTCTCTCCGGTTTCTTTTTTTCTCTCTCTCTCCGGTTGCTCTTTTTCTTTCTCTCTCCGGTTGCTCTTTTTCTTTCTCTCTCGGTTGCTCTTTTCTCTCTCTCTCTCTCTTTCTCTCTCCGGTTGCTCTTTTTCTCTCTCTCTCTCTTCTCTCTCCGTTTGCTCTTTTTTCTCTCTCTCTCTCTCTCTTTTCTCTCTCCGGTTGCTCTTTCTCTCTCTCTCTCTCTCTCTCCTCTTTTCTCTCTCTCTCTCTCTCTCTCTCTCTCTCTCTCTCTCTCTCTCTCTCAGTTGCTCTCTTTTCTCTCTCTCTCTCTCTCGGTCTTGCTCTTTTTCTTTCTCTCTCTCTCTCGGTCTTGCTCTTTTTCTCTCTCTCTCTCTCTCGGTCTTGCTCTTTTTCTCTCTCTCTCTCTCTCGTTGCTCTTTTTCTCTCTCTCTCTCTCTCCGGTTGCTCTTTTTTTCTCTCTCTCTCTCCGGTTGCTCTTTTTTTTTCTCTCTCTCTCTCCGGTTGCTCTTTTTTTTTCTCTCTCTCTCTCCGGTTGCTCTTTTTTTTTCTCTCTCTCTGGTTTCTCTCTCTCTCTCTCTCTCTCTCTGGTTTCTCTCTCTCTCTCTGGTTCTCTCTCTCTCTCTCTCTCTCTCTCTCTCTCTCTCTCGCGCTCCGGTTGCTCTTTTTTTCTCTCTCTCGCCGCTCGGTTGCTCTTTTTTCTCTCTCTCTCTCTCCGGTTGCTTTTTTTCTCTCTCTCTCTGGACTCTCCATCTTTTCTTTGTTTTTCTCTCTTTGATATACTTTAGTCTTAAGCACCGTCACAATGCATATCTTTAGATGCAACGTTAAACCTAAGTATGTTTTATTGTTATTTTTTTTATGTCTATTAACTGCCCTTCTATTATTTTTTCTTGGTTGTAGTACACAATCTTCTGCACAGAACCACTTGTCATACTTCAGCCATTTAACATCATGAACTCACTGTTTAGAACCCCATGGATTTGTTCAGACCAATATCCTCATCATTTGTTTTATGTAGCACCTGAAGAACAATTCACTGGCAACAGCTTTGAAAACCAAACACATTAATTGTTCTTCTAAGCAGCATTTATGTTGTTTGTTTGTCATTTGTATATTCATTGAATTTCTACTTGTATTATGTATTGTGATTTTCTTTTCTTTGCTAAATGAAATCATAAATCAGTGTTTAGAAAAATGAAGGATGATATGTATGGACATTTTAATGGTACAATAGAACTGTTATACAAATCACAGACCTTCAAAAATTAAAATCTTTAAAATGTGATACACAAAGTATATCTAAATTGTTCAGCTTTTTCTATGAGGAAATTGTTAAGCAAGTTTGTGATGTCCATCATATAACAATAAAATTGTAATACTAACTGAAATCTTTTTCCTTCTTTTAGCTTTATTTGAAATTATTTTTAACAGAATACAGGAAAGTCAGCTTTCTTAATTTGACACTCTTCGACCTGGAGTTCATTTACCTTTTTTCTTCAAATTTTCCCTCTAACCAGCAAATTCAGGTTTGGTTATCAACTGTCGTATTTATGAAGAATAAAATAAAATTGGTATAAGATATGATTTTGAATAAAAATTTTATTTAAAATTGGTGCAGAATTTGGATATAGAACTTTTAACCGATATTTGCTTGACATGACTCTAAAAAAATATATCTATTCATAGTTTCTTTTTTATAGGTGTTCTCAAAAAAAAAATAGGTCCTTATGTATAAGATAAAGTGAACGAATAGAGAATGAGAAAGAATCGAATATAATCAAATATTATCAAAAAAAAGATGACTCCCCACCCCAATCTGAAATGATGAGAGAAACTTCTGAATTTAACTTTCATTTTGTTTACTAGTACTTGTAATATGTTTGAAAAATGGATGAGAAATGATTGACTGAAATATTGTCTCGTATATGTTGGTATATTTTAAAATTTTCTTTAAAGTATATTTTCTCAGTAACTCTCAACCTATGAATATATAATTTATAACATTAGGTGTATATAAAAGTTTCAAACTGTGTATTTAGCCTTTTTTTTTTGTATCCACCTAATATATAACAATTAGTTTAAATTTGTTTACACATTATATAAACTCGATGAGGTGTCAATCTAAACAGGTTTTAAAAACTGCAATAAGTTGTAAAAAATGTATGAAGTTAACAAAAAAGAATGATATGGTCTTTTATTTATTTTACTTTTTTTTTAACTTTTCAATTGTTTCCTTTGTGGAGCACTAAATCTAATGTTAGCACTTGTTCCAGATTTTCATATCTACAAAAATTACAGAGAATATTCTAATGGTGTAATGTAAGTTCTAAAATACAAGTTCACACTTAAATAATACTTACCTTGCTTGTGCGTATATTTAAAAAAAAATGCTTTATTGGGATTGCAGTCATCCCAACACTTTGAAACTATTATCAACCTCCTATTTTAAAATGTCATTATGAAACAATGCTGACAGAATTATAAATTCAATATGGTATTTTCCCCCATTCCATTTGATTTCATTTCTGGTATGAAAAATGGTAACAAAAAATTAAAAAAAAAAAATTTAAGGAAGGCAACTCCTAAAATGGTTACAATTTCATTAAAAAATATTTGAATTATTGTATATTCTTTCTCCCTCTGGGTATAGAAATTTGAGACAATCCTATAAATTTGTCTTTTGATTTTCTCATTTATGTTCAAAATCAGAAAAAAAATATCCTTACTTTTGCAAGAGTTTGCATTTCCCTTTTGTCCCTTCATCCTTGTAAATTATCAGCAATCTTCAACTTACCAATGAAAATTTCTTGTTTTCATTAAGTTGGCTTCAATAAAATTCTTCTGTCAAAGAATTTATGTATGAATCCATTTGTCTGGGCTTTTACTTTGTTTTAATTTTTTTTCTGGATCAAATTTATTACCAAAAAGTATTTTTATTTTTTAAATTTCTAACTATTTTTATTTATATTTTGACTTGAAAATTAAAATTTGCAAGAGATTTCAAACAATTTCTGAAAAATTCAGCTGAAGCAATCTTTTTTGTTAGATTTTTTTTTCAGGAGCATAAGAAAGGTCAAGATTGATAGTGCAAAAGTCATTTAGTATATATATTCTCAAGGAATACACCCAGTCGTAGAAATATACATATCCTCATATGAGAATATAGACAGAGAGAAAAAACATTTTCAAGTTGGATTGAAAGTAGAGCCAGTGGGTTAGTCTCATCCCCTATCACAAAGAAGTTAAATCATTTAATTGAACGTTTTATTCAAAAAAAAAAATCAAACTGGTTCTGAAATATTTCTGGTAATATGTGTTTCCACAAATGCTTTAAAAATTAATTGGGTAATTTTAATATTTGAGATTTAACCACTTACACAAAAATTAATTTGAATTTTTTTTTATGTATGTGTTAATCTAATTATAGAAGACAAAAAAATTTATTCTCTGAACTTTCAAGTATTTTTTTTTGTTTAGCCTTATTTATTTTTAGTTCTTCATTGTAATTCCCTACCCCCCTACTTTTTCTTTAAAGATTTCTTAATAAAAATATTTCTATTTGCAGTCAGGTGATATTTTGAATAATCGCAATAATGCCAAAAGCAGACCAGCATCCATGTTTACACCCATGACCGACACATTTGAGAGCTATTTAAACAAGCCCAAAAAGTCATCAAAAAAGAAACCTGCTCCTCCTCCACCTACTGGTCACCCTCCTGCCACAGGGAGAAAACCACAAGATGACCATACAGGTGTGCCTATGCAGCAGCAGCGGCAGCAGTTACCTATGCATCCCCCAGGTGAGGTTATAAATTCAGGCACTGACCAAGGCTACCAGACGTTCCAAAAGCACTCACAAGCCAACTCTGATTCTAGTAGCTGTCAGCGGCAAAGGGCTGCAACTGAGCCCGTACCGCAATCTTATAAAATAGAAACAGATTCTATGGAACGTAGCGATGACATGAATCATTTCAGTCAGCCATCAAGCACTAAATATCATTATTTGTCCGATATTCCTCACCGTGCACCAACTGAAGATGATTACCTTCCAGAGAATCTCAGTGGCAAAAATGTAACTCCTATTAGTCCTCAAGGTTTAAGTGTGCAACGTAAAACTGCAAATGATATGTATGCTAGTCCATTAAAAAAACGAAAGCCTGCCCCATTACCACCTCCAGGTAAGTTATGCGTTTTATTCCTTAAAAGTTTTTAAAAAAATCATTTCAGAAGATACATATTGCCATATGTTTCTTATTTGCATATTTCTCATCCAATCTTCATTAATCAGCTACTATCTATCATATATATATATATATATATATATAAGGTTATGCCATCTTTTGTACCCCTATGTTCCTGTGTCAGAAATCAATGAACTTTTGTTCAAAAGTAATAAAAAAGGCATTAATTTGTTTTAGTTTTTGAAAAAGGTCACCTACAAAATGAAAATTCGATTTTATCATATACACAATAAGGGTAAATATCAAAATATTTCAGAAGCTTTATTTTTCAATTTGCTAATGATATCATTGGATAGTACTTATGTATTTTTTTAATGCATTTAACTGTTTATAGCTATAGCATAACATAAACACTTACAAATAAACAAAATGAAGATCAAGAAGGTTCTATAAAGTCATGGTACAGTTGTCCTTCGTTTATCATGGTTAATCGGTTCCAGACCCTACCGTGTTAAGTGAATTTTTGAAGTAGGATACTTTATTTATAAATTGAATATTTTTTTAGTTACACTTATATTACCCAATATATTAGACAAGATAAGACATATTAGACATTACAAATTATTATTATTATTGTACATGAAAATCACACACAAAGTTCTTACATGTACATCGCTACATCATCGAACTGTGACACTGAGCTGTCGGCCTGTGGTCAACTCCCAGTCATGGTGCAAAACTGTATCTCTCCTACCGGTGTTTTGGGGTTGACTCTTAGTTGCTGTCATCAGCCTGTGTCCCGGTCAATCGGTGATCGTCACCTGGCAGAATCCCTTAGTCAGGGCACCAAGTGGGATGGTTCGTCAATTCTCACGGCTTCACACCAACTGTAACCAGTTCGACACAAGCTCCATCGTTCTCAGCTCACTTCTAATGTCTGGTTACCGAAGTAACTGCTTCGATCTCAAGTCTAACCTACCCACATTATGATTTTGATCTTAGGTAGACGAGATGTATCAGGCCATAGTGTAAGATGAGTCTAGACTGGAGGTGATATCACACAAGTGTAAAGAAAAAGAAGCAAATAAAAACCCAAGAGGTTAAGTATGTTGAAAGAAACAAACAAATCAACTTTTATCCGTCTGTTATATACAGGAGTTTGTATTTTTCTCCAAACTCGTTTTCTACAGAGAGTGACACTTTTACGCTTCTTAGGCAAGTTCTGGTCTTCTAAGTCAACTGGTTTAGTTTTTAAGTGCTGGCTTAGCTTCATTCGTCAGTATAACTTGCTATTGGTAGGATAGGCGAAGTCGGAGGTTGTGGAATCTCTCGATCAGCTTCTGCGAGGCAACACTCTGGTTCAACCTACTCAACCTGCAACTCCAAGAACTCTAACTCCAACTGGTGAACTGCCTGAGGGCTTTTGTTTATATGGACACCGACCAAAAACCAGTGTGGGGTTAGACGCAGTCTGGCGTTTTCGGTAAATCCCAATTTCTGACAAGAAACCTCTTTGTTGTCTGGCCAAGAAAATTGATTACTTCCCATTTTGGAAAATGAATCGCTTTCCATTTGTGGGGGGATCCCTTCGTCTGTGAGGAGAGGTTGTAGGAGAGCTATCCTCCTAAACTCCCCCTTTCTCTCATTGACACCTCATACCAATTCCTTTCAGCGGGCGTTAATAATTTCCCCGTCTTTCTCATCAAATTACCTCCACCTATCACCATTGTTACCACTCGACCAATGGTGTCCCAGCCGTGCGGGTGTAGCTAAGCTGGTCTCATATAAAATTATAACCTTGTTATATAATATATATATAATTCTTGTTCCCACCGGCCAAAATACTTACGAATACCATATAGCCACTTAAAATCTCTCAGATCTTTTAGTCACTTTGCGTCTTCTTAACCAGCACTTTGTACAAACACCATCAATCAAATGTCAAAGTCTACTATCTGGTCCCTTCTTGAAGTTAGCGTCTACAAGAACCCTTGGCTTCTCAAAAGAAAATAAATTGATAATTTCTTTTTCTACAAATCAGCAATTCTCCTGAGATATTTTCTCATGCCAAAATTCTATAATCAACATATGGCCACTTGTCAGTGCTTAAGATGACATCTTGGAAAAATAAACAAGGGAAATTCCCCGTATTGACAAATATTTCGGAATATTTTCTCATGCCAAAACATTTTATAATTATCATATGGCCTTGCCTTGCTGGCACTTAAGATGATATCTTGTTCTCGGGTTTTTCGTTAATCAGTACTTTTACAAATATCATTAATCAATTGTCAAAAGCTCGCATATGGCCTTTTTTTCGTGAGTCCACTGTTTACACCAATTCTTGGGCTTTTGAGAAAAGTATCTTATTTTTAATGTAAAAAAAAATAAAAAATCTTGTACTATCTTTTCTGTTCTCAGTATTTTCTTGTGTAATTTTTATGGTTAATTAGTTAATTATTATAACTAACTAGTGTCACAAACAATTTGTATTATTTCCCTAGATGAGTCTGAACCTAGGAAAATAATGCAATTTGTTTGATGATGAATAGATGTACTGCACAACAAAGGTCCTCTAATGCACGACTACAGTAGAAGAGTCATCAGGTGGTGCATCATCGTCTTCTGCTGAAGGAATACTTGGCCTAGGCAGTGGGTATCTGTGTGCACAGCTGAAAAAGATTATGATAGGCAGTTGCTGGCACTGTCTTTTCATCTGCACAAGGAGACTTTTGTAGGGTTCCATTGCTCTATCAAATGCATTCTGGAACCACAATGCACACATCATTTGTGGGTCCCATTTGCCAATCATGTTCTGTACTTCCTTAATAGTTCTCATGGATTGCGTGAGATGCTCAAGTGTAAGGCAGAGGTGCATAATTGACTCAGACAACTAAGCACGTGCTGTATTTTTACTGTCTCAACTGAAGGATCGACTGTGTGTCTGCCCCTGAGATCTGGGCAAGAACTTTTTTTCCAACCCTGTAGTAGACTGTAGTCAACTGTGAAGCAGCGAGGAACTACAATATGATTTTTAATGAAAAGATCTGAAAAAATGCAATAGAGTAAAGCCACAAAAGTTGAAGCATGAAGTGGCAAGGGACAATTGTACTACTATAATTATATCTGATTTTAGAAATTTTGTGTTCAGGGTGACATTTTTAAAAAAAAAAAAAAAACTAAATTAAACCCTTCATTATTTTTTAACAAAAGTTCATTGAATTATGATACAGGAAATCAATTATTTTTAAAAAGTCATAACCCTAATATATATATATAATATATATATATATATATATATATATATATATATATATACATACAATGGACTCTCTTGTCAGTTCAATGAATGAGGGCTCAGTAGTTTTTTCCGTTCGCTTTTTATGTTTATGCTTTAAATGGCACTTCAGTCCAGCTGCTGATTTACGCATCAAGCTGCATTTAGTGCAGATCACAGGATTTTGAATGGAGCAGGTTAGAAAGTTTGATTGAATCTTGGTGTTACCTCTTAGATCTTGAAGATGGATCAAATGAGATTTTTGAAAGTTCTTCATACCTTCATGGCAAATTGTCCTCCATTTTCTATGGTCAGCAGCTAGGGTTTCCAAAGAAGTAAGAGTTACATTGACAGACTTAAGATTGTACTTCAGTTTGTCTCTATATCTGAGAGTAATAGTCTGCCTACATTGCATGCACTGTTCTGAAACTGACTGTATAACAGTACCTTGGGTGTGAAGTCCTCAGTTATCTGTAGGACATGTCCAGCCCATTTGAGTCTGGATTGTATCAGAAATGACTCAATCTCACTGATTTTGCACCTTGGAGACCCCTGTCAAAAAGTGCGTAACCACAGGGATTAGTATATGTGGAAGACATCAAGCTTATGAATGACTACCACAGCATGATAAACTGCTACTTTTGTTTCCATAATTCCTCTGAACCATATATATATATATATATAATGGAAACATTTCTCAGAATTAACTGCAATGTGATAAACAATAGGAAAATTTAGTTTTACATTTTTTGATTTTTTCAGTGATAAATTAAAACTCTGATGCTTTATATATATATATATATATATATATATATATATATATATATATATAAAGGAAAAAATATATATATGTTGAAAATTAATTCAAAGTGGAATTAACATCCTTTAGAAAAAAGACTAAAATTTCATTCCCTCCTTTTCATGCACATTTGTAATTTTCAATGGAAGCTTCAAATAGAAACAATTCAGAGAAAGGATGGAATTTGTTTAAAAAAAATGCATTTCATCAAAAATTTTTTCATTTTTGCAAGGAAGTGTAAAAATTACTCTATAAAAAAAAATACATTGGACGGGTCCAAGTTTTGCCTCCCAAGCCCTTTGGTCAGATGATCACCCTATGGTTCTTTAGGTCGGCACGGGTGGCAAAACACTTATATATATATATATATATATATATATATAAAAAACACACACACATATAAAAGGAAAAATGATGTATGAATGTTTTTATGTTAGAAAAATTAATAACAAAGTGGAAAGATTTTTTTTTTTTGTGTGTGTGGCGGTTTCATCCTTTAGAAATTTATCAGACTAAAATTCGACGGGCTGGAAGGATTTCAACATTCCCCTCCTTTTCATGCACATTTGTAATTACATCAATGGAAGCTTCAAATAGAAACATTACTTTTGTCCAGTGAAGTCCTAAAGGATGGAACATGTTATAAAAAAAAATGTTTTTTTCCCCACATTGTTTTGCCATTTGGCCAGATTTTGTAAAGTGGGTCAGACAAAGAACTTTTCAGAACCATCTTACCTCTTTGTTTTTCCTGATTATAAATTTGAATGATTAAGCAGGAAGTTGTAAAAACTTTTTCTCTGATTAAAAATCTGAATTAATCCTTTTATCTTTAAAATGGTCTTTTCCTTTCAATTCTTCCAATTGTCTTTGTTTTATGAACAGTATCTCTTTTTTATCTCCAAAATGAGAAATTTATAGTCG